ATTAGGAAAAGGTTGGGGTTAATAAAAGTATTAGTCGGGGGCAGAAGGGGTTGTTGAGGGTTTGGTCATTTAGAGGAATGGATCACAGTAGAATGAATGGAAAAGCATAAAAAATCTTAGGGAAGGAAGGGGGGTAGGGGTTTTCGTCCCAAAAGGGTTGAGGGGGGGGTGGGTAAAGGGGTTTTTGGGGTAAGGGGTTTGGCTTCCAGCAAGCGTGCGTAGGTGTTAGATAGGAGTGAAGGGAAACGAATGGTATTGGGATGACGTCTGTTGGAGGTGGCAGGGTAATTTTTAGTAAAGGGGTTCAGGAAACCGGTTATTTTCATTTAGTGGGACTGAGTCGGGAAAGGGGAAAGTACAATGCCTGCATTTAAAGGAGGGGTTTGGGATATTGGCATTTTGGGAGGGTATTTTGTGTTCTTTATTTTTATGCTTCTAGATGTTGTATTCTGAGCACCTCTGAAAAAAACGTGTAATGGGAGTGTGGGAAAGTGTTGAATGATGAAAAGTATTTTTTTTTTGGGGATTTTCTTTCTTTTTTGGGGCACCCTCCCCGGGTGGGGGGAGGGCCACTTTTTGAAAAAAAAAAAAAAAAAAAAAAAAAACTGTAGTGTGTTTTCCTAATGTAATAGAAGTAACAAGACGTCCCGTAATCTTGCATATTTAAGACAGACAAAAGACACCAGAAATCTACCATCTTTTAAAAAATTAAAAGGTTTGTTTACCCCCCCTTTGGGCGGGGACAGTAGAAACCCCCCTGGGTGGTTGCGTTTACCAACCTACAGGGACCCCCGCTACTTTGGGCATCAAAACGTTAAATCCGCATCCCGCTATATTTTATCGCCAAATTTTGCCTCGATACCGCTAAAAAAACCCCCAACGCTGTTCGCCCGAGCGCGTCAAATGGCGCCCTTAGCCACCCTCACATTTCCTCTGGTGGATTGTTTACAGCCGCCTCCCGGTAAATCCAAGAATACAATCGGAACTTTGTATTATTACAGTTTTTTGGTGTTTTATCGCAAATAAGGCCATGGGCCCCAAGAAAGTTTTAGTGCCAACCCTACGGGAAATAAGGGTGAGAATTATATAGAGTGAAGAAAGAGATCATTGATAAGTAAAAAAAGTGGAGTGCGGCTCCGAGCGGCCGGTTGTAAGTAAACCCCAATCAACCACGTACTATTGTGGGCAAAAAAAGGCAATAAAGGAAGTGTTTTCCCAAAAGGTGAAAACTGTGTTTTCGAAACGAGATCGCAAGTGATGGAAGATGTTGAGAGATGTTATTGGGGTGGTAAAGAGAAAAAAAGATAGAGGAGGGGTAGCATCCTTTAAGTGACATAAGTAAAAGGCTAGGAAGTTTCATCAGGGTTTAAAAAAAAAAAATGCCTGCAATGTGATAGTGAGTGAATTTAGGCCGCCAAAGGTTTTGGGTTTTAGAGATTTTAAAAGGCGTAGTGGCATACATGTGTGATAAGGCATGGTGAGGCTGCCCGTTCGGACCCAAAAACAGCTGAAAAATATTGCAGGAATTCAAGGATACCAAGAAACTGAAGGACTGAAACCTGAACAAGTGTTTAATTGTGATGAAAAGGGCCCGTTTTTTAAGAAAATCCCGCGGACCTACTTTCCCGGAGGAAAAAGGGACTCCCCGGACATAAGCCTAGAAAAACGGGTTCTCTGTTTGATGGTTCCAAAGCTACTGGTTTATTGCAAAGTGAAACCTTTATTTGGTATCACTCTGAAAATCCCAGACCCTTCAGGGAAAAAAATTCCTAAGGAAAAAATTTTTGTGTGCTTGGGGGGGCAAAACAGTAAGGCATGGGTCATAGGGGGCTTTTTTATGACTGGTTAACCCGCATTTCCCCCAAGGAAGATTCCTAAATGAAAAGAAATTGAACTTAAATGCCCCCTGGTGTTAGCAATGCCCCCCGGTCATCCCACAGATGGGAGAGCGACTTTTTTGGGGCATGAAATTCATTAAGGTGAAGTTTTTGCCTCCCAAAACCACTCCCTCCTGCAGCCCATGGACCCCCGGTTATTGCAAAAATTCAAAAAACGTAACAAAAGCTCTGTTTGAAAAGGTGTTTTTAGTACCTCAGAAATCAAATGACTCTAAAAAGGTTTTGGAGAATCACTTTAATATCCTCAATTTTGTAAAATTTTAGGGAAGGCTTGGGAGGGAGTGACTAAAAGGACCTTGAACTCTGCTTGGAAGAAACTGTGTCCAGAAATATTTGACCCAAAGGGGGTTTTGAAGGGTTTTGGCTAACCCTGAGAATCCTATCCCGTTGAGGAATCCATTATGGCTTTTGGGAAAGTCCCTTTGGGGGTTTGGGGGTTAGTGGGATGATGTGGGGAAAAGTTGGTGGAGGAGGCAAAGAAGAAAACCCTGATGAGCTGATAGACAACTTCAACAGCCCGGGCCCCGACCCGAGGAAAAAATGGTTCGAAGGGGGGGAAGAGAGAAATTTTAAGAAAATTTCCTACACAAGATTAAGGAAAAACGTGCAAAATGGGTTAAGTGCAAACCTTCATGGATGAAAAAAACCCCACCAGCATTGCAAGCCGTGCTTTGGGACTATTACACTGACAAGGTTTTTGAAAAACCCTTTTGGGAAATCATAAAGGGAAAGGAGGTAAGGCCCTATGGAAAATGTTGTGCGACAGAACTCCAGTGACTCTGAAACTGGTCCTGTGGCATTAAAAAAAAAGGGAAGTAACCCCAAAAAGGACTTGACACCTCAAGTCTTAATGGAAGGGGATTCCCCCCTTCAAAAAACACTAACACTCTCTCCTCCCCCCAAATCCTATCAATCTTCACCGTCTTAATAAAAGAAGTGTCATTTTAATTGTGCATGCCTTTTTCAGTTTGGGGGTGAAATTAAAATTAATATTTCATGGGGGAAAAAAAAATTTTTTTTTTTCATCCCTTTGGGGTGCCCTTGAAACGGATTAATTTTTGTTTTCCCATTTTTTCTTAGGGGGAAAAATTCATTGCTAACGAAAATTTTTTTGCAAAACCAATGGGGCTCTTTTTGAAACGGTTTAATATCGCATGGGGGGGTCCCCCGTACTACTGCTTTTCAGCAAAAAAAAGGGGGAAAAACACTTTTAAATGCCCCACTGTATGGTCAATGGTTTTGGGAGTATTTTTTACAAAAATTAAAAAAATGGGCCCCACAAAACCCAATGAAGGGTTTACAAAAAACTTTGTTTTAACCCCAAAGTTTTTTCCATTTCCCCTTCCATCCTGTCAGGGGAAAATACATACGTTGAAATTTTTTTTTGTTTCCCAACTATAAAACAAATTTAAATTTTTTCTACTGTAAACCTAAAAAATAGGGGTTTGACCTTGGGGGTGTTTTTTTTCCACATCTTAGTTTGGTTTTTTTTTTTTTTCAAAAAAGTGGGGCCGCCCTCCCACCGAGGCGGGGGTGCCCCCCAAAAAAAAAAAGAAAGAAAATCCCCAAAAAGAAAATACTTTCAAACATTCAAAAAACTTTTTACCACACTCGCAAAATTATCACTGTTTTTCAGAGGTGCTTTTGAAAAAAACCCTTTTTGAAGCATACCATATAAAGAAAACACAACATATCCCCCCAAAACCCGCCAATATCCCAACCACTTCCCTTTAAAATTTTAGGCATTTTATTTTCCCTTTTTTTTCCAGGACCCAAATCCAACTGTATAAAATAAACCCGGGTTTCCCCGAATCCCTTCACTAAAAATTACCCTGCTCACATTCCCCAAAAGATCGTCAGGTCCCAAGTACCATTCGTCCCCATTCACTCCTATCTAACCGCCCCACGCAAACCCCTTGCTGGAATTTCCCAAACCCCTTGCCCACAAAAACCCCCCTTTTAACCCCCTCTCCCAACCCCCTTTTTAGGAAAGACCCCCCACCCCGCCTTCCTTCCCCTTACATTTATATGCTTTCCATTCATTCTACTTTGATCCATTCTCTCCCAAATGACCAAACCCCCCAACAACCCCTCTTCTGCCCCCCGAAATAATACTTTTATTAAACTCCAACCCCCTTTTCCTAATTTTTCCAAAACTCCAATTTTTTTGCTAATTTTTTAACCCCCCACACATTGCCCTTTAAACAGGACATTTCCCCTGCCTCCAACCGTCTCCCCCCGCTGCTGCATTTTCCCCCCAAACTTCAAAACCCCTATAAGAGTGTTGGTACTTTCTATACTTTCTACATTCCCTTCTTTGGGCCCCCAAGATAAAAGTTTTTTGCTCCACATATACCTCAAAAAACCACCACTCACCTTTTTTTTCATCAATTTTTATGATTAACCTCATCCTTCATAAATCCATCCCCCGACACGTCAACTCCGAATTATCTGAAAACTTTTCACTTCTTCCATACTCCTCCTCCCCAATTTGATATCCAATTTTTGTTTATCTAAATCATTTGACACCCTCATCACCTTACTCTTTTCTATTTTTCACTTTCAACTTTTAAACCTTTACACACATTCCCAAGCTCATCCACTAACCTTTGCAATTTTTCTTTGGGAAATCTCCCATAAGCACAGTATCATCAGCAAAAAGTAACTGTGTCAATTCCTTTTTGAATTTGATTCCCCTAAATTTAACCCCACCCCTCTCCCAAAACACCCTAGCATTTACTTTCCTTTACAACCCCATCTATAAATATATTAAACAACCATGGTGACATTACACATCCCTGTCTAAGACCTACTTTTACCAGGAAGTAGTCTCCCTCTCTTCTACCCACCCTAACCTGAGCCTCACTATCCTCATAAAAACTCTTTACAGCATTTAAGAACTTACCACCTATTCCATATACTTGCAACATCTGCCACATTGCTCCTCTATCCACTCTATCATATATCTTTTCTAAATCCATAAATGCAATAAAAACTTCCCTACCTTTATCTAAATACTGTTCACATATATGCTTAGATGGATGTCTTTCCATAATACCTGATTGCAAATTAACAAATTAAAATTGAAATCCCAATACACACCTCACCATAAATCTTAAAAACACAAGTATTTTCTTCTAATTCAATATTCGTTACTCCTTCAACCTTACGAGCTTGCTGTATATTTGCCCCATGTGCACCAATGGCAAGTCCCATTAGATCTTCCCGAACACTGAACTCTTCAACAAACCTGGAAAAAAAAAAAAAAGATTAATCAGAAAGCTAGAGATTCATAAGCACTTGGAGAAATGATCTATGAAATGACCCAGTGAAATAGGATATCAAAAAAAAGTTTTTACAGTAGGTGCCTCACTTTCATCCATAATGCATTCCTGAAAAATCATTTGTTACAGAACCTATTTTCCCATAGACACCCACTGTAAACTCCGTGATGAGTTTTTCAACTACAGTGGTCCCCCGCTTTTCGTAGTTTCCGGCAATCGTAAAATTCGCCAATCATAGAGATATTTTCGTATAAACATGGACTCGCTTTACATAGGTTGACTCGTGAGTCGTAGTTCGTCCGGGACGCGTATGCACGGCGTGAGCCAGGGCAGCAGCCAGTCTGGCATTGTTTACCAGTGAGCGAAGGTCCCCTCACGTGCTCCAGCGAAATATTTCATAATATTCCATTTATTTTAGTGCTCGCAAGTACTAAATAAGCTACCATGGCTCCAAACAAAGCTCCTAGTGCCAAGCCTGTGGTAAAGAAGCTGAGAAATACGATTGAATTAAGAAAACCATCATTGAACAATATGAAAGTGGTACAAGTGTGGCCGAACTGTTCAGGATGTATAAGAAACCCTACACAACCTTATGTTCCATAGTGGCCTAGAAAAATGAAATAAAGGATGCTGTTGTTGCAAAGGGAGTAACTAGGCTGACAAAAATGAGATCATCAGTACTGGAAGAGGTTGAGAAGTTATTACTGGTGTGGATAAATGAGAAATAGTTAGCAGGAGATACTCTTATGACTTCGTTTATTTGTGAAAAGGCTAGGCAGTTGCATGAAGATTTGGTAAAGAAATTGCCTGCAAATAGTGGTGAAGTGAGTGAATTTAAGGCCAGCAAAGGCTGGTTTGAGAGATTTAAGAACCGTACTGGCATACACAGTGTGGTAAGGCAGCCAGTTCGGACCACAAGGCAGCTGAAAAATATGTGCATGAATTCCAGAAGTACATAGAGGCTGAAGGACTGAAACCTGAACAAGTGTTCAATTGTGACGAAACAGGCCTCTTTTGGGAAAAAAATGCCAAAGAGGACCTTCATTACACAAGAGGAAAAGGCAATGCCAGGACACAAGCCTATGAAAGACAGGCTGACGCTAATGTTCTGTGCTAATGCTAGTGGGGATTTCAAAGTGAAGCCATTACTAGTGTACCATTCTGAAAATCCCAGAGTATTCAGGAAAAACAAAAGTTATGAAGAGGGAAATTGTATGTGTTTTGGAAATCTAAAAGTAAGGCATGGGTCACGAGGGAAATTTTCGTCGAGTGGTTCAATGAAGTGTTTGGCCCTAGTGTGAAGGGTATTTCCTGGAAAAGAAAAATTTGGATCTCAAATGCCTGCTAGTAATGGACAATGCACCTGCTCATCCTCCAAACTTGGAATGACCTAATTTTCGAGGAGTTTTGGGTTTATCACAGTGAAGTTCTTGCCCCCGAATACCACTCCCCTCCCCCAACCCATGGACCAGCAGGTTATTGCAAACTTTAAAAAAAATCTACCAAAAGCAATGTTTCACAGGTGCTGACTGTGACCACAGACACTCACTTGACCCTAAGGGAATTTTGGAGGGGAACACTTCAGCATCCTCCACTGAAAAAACCCCTTTTAGGTATGGCTTGGGAGGGAGTGACTACCAGGACTTTGAACCTGCCTGGAGAAAATTTTGGCCAGATTGTGTCGACAAGAGGGATTTTGAAGAATTTGGGACTGACCCTAATGAGCCTATGTCTGTTGTAAAATCAATTGTGGCACTGGGGAGTTCCATGGGGTTGGATGTGAGTTTGAGGATGTGGAAGAATTGGTGGAAGACCACAATGAAGAGCTCACCACTGAGGAGCTGCAAGAGCTTCAGCAGGAAGAGCAAAAACATCGCAGCTCAGAATCTTGCTGCAGAGGAGGAGGAAGAGAGATGGAAGAAGGGGCCTTCTTCAGAAAATTAAAGAGATTTTTTACTATGTGGGTAAGATGGAAAACTTTATGGAGAAAACATCACCCTAACAAGGTTGTTGAAGCCAGGTTGGCAACATGTACAGTGACAAAGTCTTGGGCCATTTTAGGGAAGTGTTAAAGAGATGCCAGAAACAGAGCTTTTCTCCACAGTATTTTGTGAGAAGGACTCCAGTGACTCTCAAGGTGGTCCTAGTGGCATTAAGAAACAGAGAAGAGAAGCAACCCCAGAAAAGCAAATAGTACCTGAGGTGTGGATGGAAGGGGATTCCCCTTCCAAACTATAAACAATCCACTCTCCTCCTCCAGTCTCCCATACACTAAGAAGAATCTCCAATAAAGGTAAGTGTTATGCTGTTAATGTTTCATTCATCATTTCCCATTGTATTATTTATGTACTACATGTATATTTCATGTTAAAATTTTTTTTGTTTTAATACTTCTGGGTGTCAGGAACGGATTAATTGTATTAACATTATTTCTTATGGGGAAAATTGATTCGTAAATCGTAAATTTTGTTTATACTAACGGCTCCAGGAACGGATTAATTACGAACAACGAGGGACCACTGTATAATATTCCGTATCATAAATAAATTGATTTTAAAATAAAATTAAAAAAATGTACAGTTCCTCTTTCTTACCTTTTCCCTCTCCCATTTACCCTTCTTTTTTCCTAAAAAAAAATTTACAAAAATAAAGTGGAATGCAGTGTATTATACAATTAGGGTAACTGAAATACATAACTACTTTATAGAAAGCCCTTTATTATGTAAGGCATTTCTGGCAACCTTGAAACTAAATTATGATTACAAGTATACAAGATTAAGAATACATAGTTTTTATTATATCAGAGGTATTTAGTAATTCAATACTAATTTTTTTTTTTAACACATCAGCCATTTCCCACTGAGGCAGGGTGACCCAAAAAGCAAGAAAAAAACTTTCATCATTCAACACTTTCACCATCACTAATATACAATCAATGTCTTTGAAGAGGCGCTCAGATATGCCAGTTTAGATGTCCCTCCAAACTGCCAACATCCTAAACCCATCCTCTAAAGTATAGGCATTATACTTCCCATTTCCAGGATTCAAGTCCGGCTAACCGGTAATGCAAAAAATATAGTGATATATTAAGACTGAAGCCAGGTACAGGAGCTGAAGGAATGATACACACAGACAGGAACAATACTGGATGAAAATTGTTCAGCACAATACGTTGTTGTTAGGATCATGTCAAGTTTTTTTTTTTTTTTTTTTTTTTTTTACAGTTCTGAGGTAGCTGACAGACAGAGAACGGCTGGAGTTTTCAGGTACAGAGCTCCAGATTTTAGGTTCTTTTATGCACATTAAGTCTTCACAAAGATTGAGTCAAACACAAGAAATATCAAGAGATTTTTGTATAGTATTACAAAAAGATTAGGTGATGAAAGATTGGATATCAGATTGGAGGGAGAGAGTATGGAGGAGGTGAATGTATTCAGATACGTATTTGGGAGTGGACGTGTCAGCGGATGGGTCTATGAAAGATGAGGTGAATCATAGAATTGATGAGGGGAAAAGGGCGAGTGGTGCACAGAGTCTGTGGAGACAAAGAACTTTGTCCTTGGAGGCAAAGAGAGGAATGTATGAGAGTATAGTTTTACCAACGCTCTTATATGGATGTGAAGCATGGGTGATGAATGTTGCAGCGAGGAGAAGGCTGGAGGCAGTGGAGATGTCATGTCTGAGGGCAATGTGTGGTGTGAATATAATGCAGAGAATTCATAGTTTCGAAGTTAGGAGGAGGTGCGGATTACCAAAACTGTTCAAGGGCTGAAAGGGGTTTTGAGGGGGGTTCAACATTAAGAGAATGGAGCGAAACAGAATGACTTAAAGAGTGTACAGTCTGTAGTGGAAGGAAGGGCGGGTAGGGGTGGGGCCTGGGAAAGGTTGGAGGGGGGAGTAAAAGGATTTTTTGTGTGCGGGGGTTTGGACTTCCGGGGCATGCGTAGCGTGTTTGATGGGAGTGAATGGACAATGGTTTTTAATACTTGATGTCTGTTGGAGTGTGAGCAAAGAACATTTATAAAGGGGGGTTCAGAAACCCCAGGCCCGGGCTTGAGTCCTGGGGATGGAAGTACAGTGCCCGCACCGAAGGGGGTTTAAGTTGCAGTTTAAAAAAATGAAGTTAAAGCACCCCCTTTTGGGAAGACAGTGGGAGTGAATGATGGTGAAGTTTTCTTTTTCAGGCCCCCCTGCCTTTGGGAAACGGCCCCCGTGTGAAAAAAAAAAAAAAAAATGCCTACAGTTCTGCTGCACTGCAAAAGTGTGTTTTTAGGGCAGGATTGATAAAAATTTTTCATGTTATTAGTATGCCAGTAGATTTGTGAATTTTTGCTATTTAAAGGTTTTTGGGTTTTGAAGAGGAGGGGGGGGGGGGTAATGTGTTGTCTGGCAGTAGTAGAGGGAAAGTATCTTTTCCGTACGCCACTTTTTTTTAAATCACGGGCCTTGGGGTTTTTTGCTGTAATGGATCCCCGGGCACAAACTGAAATAGGTGAGGTGGGAAAAATAGACAGAGAGGTACGGGAACCTTGCTTATGAGTTTAACCCTTTTTCCGTGACCTAGGTGAACCTGATCTGTCATTTCCCGAGTCAATTTTCCTTTTTTAAAATTTAACTGAAATGCCATTAATCCATTCCCACAAAAATTTCCCTGCTCTAAAGGAGGCAGGACAAAATACTTCAAAATAAATGCAAAATATTGACTCGACGGCTTTTTTTCTATCAAAATTTCATCAAAAAGCCCATAAAAAACCCAAAAAAAAATAAATGGGAAACCCCGCATATCTCACTTGCGTTTATCTATGTTTTCCCATTCTTTATTTCCCATGGACATCATCCTCTTTCTTCTCAGCACTGTCCTTTGCATTTAACTTTCTTAGGACCCGGGGTTAGAAAAAAAAAATTTTGGGGCAAAAAAAATGCCCAAAAGTGAGAAAAACACAGGGGAAACCTTCCACCGGAAGTA